TGTAATCTTATCTAACCTCATCCCATCCCGTTCCCATTTCATCTTATCACATCCTATCCAATGCCGTTTTATTTCATCTCATTTTATTTTATCGTATTCAATTCTATTCTATTCTTTCCATTTCATTTCATTTTATTCTGTTTTATATATTCATTTTCTCTTTCTCTTTCTTCTTTTTTTAATACTTTTAAGCCATTCCGACTGCCTCAACTCCCCCTCCCCCTTCCCCTCCCCTCCCCCTTCCCCTCCCCTCCCCTATACACATAAACATTTTTCTGGTCCTCACTCCCTGATTAAAAAACCATTCTATTTCATCCTACCGCATTAAGCCTCTGATAGTTTGAGAAGAAACCTCCAGCCCTTCCAAGGTTGACTTCTTCCATCTCCACCTCAGTTTGCACATCAAAGATCTGAATGACAAACTTGATTCCTTCCCCATGAAGATATTTCACCAAAGCGCTGTAGTGCTTGGCAGGGACATGAATATCTGCATCCATACCTGGGCGAAATGCGTCCTTCCAAAAGCTGACCTGAAAAAAATACGCAGAATTTTTTGTAAAGAAACATATTCATGTGATCTTTTTACCCTTAATTTTATTAACATATACCTTGATCGTGGGGTGATCCTCGAGACCAGATACAACAGCCAGTTCTCTCTCATCTTTTGGCGTTACACGAATGACTTTGTCCCTGAAAAATACGAAATACGTTTAATAATATAATAGCAAAATTCACGAGAAATGAATTTCAAACAGATGGCATCCAGTTTTACAGAGTGCCTCTTTATTCACAGTATCCAACGTGGAATTTACAGGGCTGTAGCAATGATTTGAACATCAGTCGTTAAAAAAAGGCAATTATTATTTATTTGTTAAATAAGAGTTTTGCGGAGGGTGAAATGTTTTTGACTGTGAAAAAGGTGTCCTGTTAACACCAACCGTAACGGTGGCTATACGGCCATTTATTGCTGGGAGAAGAAAATCTAAAGAAAAAGACTGCCAAAAAGACACAAGTTTGAGTCGCAAGTGGCATTGGCGGAGCCTTAGTCTCAGCTTTGCCACACATTCACTACTACAACTGAATTTGGAATTGAATTATTAGTTAATATCTATATTTATTATTATTTACCCTTTAAAAGGTTTTTCTGCTTCACCACATACGGTTGCAACGAGCAACAGCAAGGAAATCCACATTAACCCCATGGTTAGAGGTCAGGCTTGGAATACTCAACATTTCATAGTCACCAACCCATTTTATATCATCTTTTTCAATAACGGTTCTATTTTCCCAGCTTTTAAAGCAATATGAGCACAGTTGCCCAGACGAAGAAGATGTTTCTTCAGATGGTTATATGCAACAACACATTCCAGCCATCAGGATATCACTATACGAGACAGCTCTGTGAATACGTCGACGATTAAACACTTACTCTCCACCCTTCGATCAATATTTACAAAGGTGTTTATTCTTATTCATCATCCTTGCTTTTTCAGGATCGATATGAATGGGATTCTTACTTCAAGGAATTGACTCGCAATGACACTCAGAATGAAAATGAATAGAATAGAAAAATATTAATGTTTAACGAGGAGACATTTTTCTTCGATAAATCATTTCTTTTAAGGGGCATTCATTTTTTAGGAGAGGGAGTGGGACGGAGGAATCCCTATTAACATTAATGTAAAATCTTTTAGCCCCTCTTTCTTCCGTCTGCATATGAATAAGTGACACACCTCTTGAAATTTGTTGAGTCCTGGACCCTCAACTTTATACAGTATGAATTATTTCATCACCCCCCCCCCCCCCACATTTTGACTTAGCAGACATTTAGTGGCCTTCCCCCTCCTAGAAAATAAATGCACAATTTTTGACTTGAAAGGAGAGATTTACACACTTTGATTGGTCTATCGACTAGTGATCAGAGATGATATTCACTGGTCGAGAGATTTCCCAAAGTTTGCCAGCACAGAAGCAGTACTAAAAGTTTTTTTAGTGCGAATTTCCATTCTTCTTTGATATTGAACCACCACCACTCCATAGCGTTAAATTCTGTCACCTAAAATTTCTTATACTGATCTGAGAAAATTTTCCAATTATTTTGTGATTTATTTTGCAGTCAGTCACTTTAAGATGCACATCAAAATTATGAATAGTATTATGCTATCTCTACTTCATTGTTATGCTAATTAGATATGGGGGACAAACTATCCGGTTCGTAAGTTAATGCGACGCGACGCGTCATGTTGGTCAGGTGCCTTTGCCGCCATCCTGATTGAAAGATAGTGCATGCTTCCCCTAAAGAGACTTAGTGGTTTTAATATCAGAAGAAAATGCGCAAAAGAAACCTGGCGACTTTGAAGAAGACAGGGTCATCATGGAACACAGATTATGGGGGAGGGTCGGGAGGGCTACAAAGCAAACTTTGTGCCTTTGACCGATTTCTTGAGAAGAGTGGTAGGCAATTTATGCAGATGGTATTTGAATAATTCGTGAGCCAATCTGAAGACAGAGCTTATCATAGTATTGGCTTTTATTGATAAAATTATGTATATTTATATTGGCGCAAAACTCACTTTACTACAACAGTTAATACTTAAACTAATGATGACTGAAATTCTAGTCCCATACATTTTCTGTAAACTTGAGAACTGTAAACTGTTTTTGTTTGAATGACCACGTTCCAACTGCGCACTGTATGATATTATATAGCCAAACGACTTTATATTGGCGCAAAACTCACTTTACTACAACAGTTAATATTTAAACTAATGATGATTGAAATTCTAGTCCCATACATTTTCTGTAAACTTGAGAACTGTAAACTGCTKTTGTTTGAACAACCACGTTCCAACTGCGCATGTCAGTTTGTGTTTTTTTCTACTGTTATTATTTTAATTTCAATCCTCAGTTGAGATGATCAATTATTAATGCAACCATATGCAACTAAGAGAAGTAATAAATTAACCAACAAAATATATAATATCACTTGTCAGTCGGGCACACGAAATTGTCTCCTATCTATCGTTTGGAATCATATTTATTATTATTATTATGGTTAGTTTTTTTTGGAGATCATTCATTCATGATTAATAAGTTCATTCATTTTTAATGCAGGTGATATAGAAAATAAATGATCAATCAACCGAGTTATTCCGCCATATGCCACTCATATGCTATAATTATACCTCTTTTTTCTTAACACTTTCATTTATTCATTTTTAGGTTATTCGTAGCATATGGTTCTGTCAACTCGACTATACTCAAAAGTACCTTCAAAAAACCGCTATTTTTGTCTTAAGATTGGCCAATTCTCTCTGAAAACACAGAGTATTGAGTAAACTCACAAGTTAAGGTTCAGACTAGATACACACAGAAGATTTAACACAGAAAAGACATCCCGTATAGATTTAAATTTGTTGAAACAGTTGGAGCTGGTTGCCTAAATAACTCCTACAACCTTTGTTTTGGGTTGTATGTACGAAAACAATCTAGAACACACAAAACTAAGTCTTAACAATAGATCCAGGCGAGAAAAAAAAAACTCCTGAGAAGCAGTTCTTAAAACTCTTTCCAGATTCAAGACCTAAATATTAGAATTACATATTTCAAGTCCTTTAAAAAAGATTCCAACGTTAAATAAAAACTGATCCGTAAATTTGTGAATCGATTTTTATGATTTTTATTGACCCATTTAAACTAGGTTTTTTAAAGTTCATGTTAGTAAATAAAGAAGAATAGAACAAGATTAAGCARCTGCGTAGCAAAGACAACAAAGGATGAATATTCTGCTTGTTATTTGTTACGTGTATTGAATGTGATAAAGTGAATTAGGTCGAGGTATAAAAACAGGTCATTGATGAATATTGGTCCGTCGTGATCATTTTAACCAGTGGAGCAACATGCAAGCCTTTCTCACGATATTTCTTGCTTTCGTGGCTGTGGAGTGCACGCAGTTTAGGAAGTAAGTGAGAAACAAATATTAATTACTTTCTCATTATTTTTCATCAACGATTTGTGTAATTTTGAAGGGACAATCTAGTTCAACTTTCTTTGATCGGGTAAATTTTCTCAGTCTGCTGCTAAGAATTCCCACTCGAGAATATTATTCATCTGTAAAGATAGAATCCTCAATAAGTAAGACTTAATGACAGAAAAAGTATAAGATATTTAAAATTGGTCAATCCTTATTTCTTTCCCATCCGCCATTTCGCTCTCTTCTTTCTCTTCCTTTCTAACTTTAAACATTTAATACCTTATTATTTTATCATCCTTTAATTTAATTTTATTAGCAACAAAGTCATCAGGGTTACTCCACAAAATGATGAAGAAGTTGGTCACTTGAAGAATTTGCAATCATCCAAAGATATCAAGGTGAGTGAAGATTTTGAGATCTAAGAAGGGTAATTTGTATAAAGTTCTTTTTATTTTAGCATTTTTTCCATACATACATTAATCCCTATTCTTCTCTTCTCCTGTCGCTCTTTAGATCGAGTTCTGGTCATGGCCATCCCATGCTGGGCACCCTGTGGACATGCACGTCACAAACGAAGATTACAAGAGACTGGCGCGATACTTAAGTCAACGTGGACTGACATTCACCATTCAGATCTTTGATGTACAAAACCTTGTTGACAGAGAAAATGCACCGGCGGCTCGGTCTGGAGTCAGTTGGTACAGCAAATATCATCCACTAGATGAGGTCAGTATGACGTTACCATGGGGACGCAAGAACACCATGGCGTGGCGTTTTGTTTGTTTGTTTATTCTTATTTATCATTCATTCATTTGTTTTTTCATTCATTCATTCATTCATTCATTCATTCATTCATTAATTAATTAAATCATTCATTCGTTCGTTCTTCGTTCGTTCGTTCGTTCGTTCGTTCGTTCTTCGTTCGTTCGTTCGTTCGATCGTTCGTTCTTCGTTCGTTCGTTCGTTCGTTCGTTCGCTCGTTTTCCCATCATCTGCAATAATTCTTCAAGGATGATTGAAAATATCTGTAAAAGGTTACGTATGTATTGCAAACATTAATATGGACTACTTCGACGATACGGCGCTCATCTAGGAGGCAAAACAAAACAATGATGACGGAAAATATAAAGAGTTCTTCTTGTGTTTGTCTTTCTTTTATGGGTAAAGGTGATCGATGTGCCGTCTTAATTCATCTTTTGTTGTATTCTCTTGTGGTGAGCTGTTAATATCAATCGACGTCATTACTGTAACAAAGCTTTATTAGCCCCCTAGACGCCCCATAATGCGTCGTGATTCAAGATGGCCACCATATCGTCGAAGTAGTGCATTCACTGCGCTCGACCAACTTTTCCTTCGCTCTAATAAAAACAAGAGAGGTCAACGAAGGATTTCTATTTTTGTAAGGTGTTTTTTAATGCGTTACAGGAGGTTGGTGATTGTGCGGTAGGCGATTTGAATTCTTTTTGTTCATATACCGTGTTACAAAAACCTGTTATACTGGACATTTTTTCTCACGAAAATATGCAGTAATTTCGAAGATGATTGCAAACATGTCCTTTAAACAATTTAGTTAATAAAATGCTAAATACTAAACCACTAGAAAAAAATTAGCTCTGCTTAATTCATATTATAATTATATGAACTCAAATTCAATGCAATAATGCGAAGTACTTATCTTTCAACACTAAGCTGTACACCATTTCGTTGCTACTCAAATTCAAATTGCACGTTTTCGTTATAAGGGTTTTAAGTAACTTAATGTTTTGGCCAATTGTACACACACTGCAGCTTACTATTGTCTTCCACCCACCCGAAGAATATTTTCTACAAAGAATTCTATTGTACGCGTCCTTCCACTAAAATAATTTTCACATTGTAATTTTGCGAAAACCATCTTGGTTGTTTTTTTTATTTTAGATTTCAGTATGCCTTTATCTTTTTTGCACAGATATACCAAGAACTCAAAACACTGGCTAATGWATACTATCGCAATGGGAATGTCCGGGTCTTCACTCTTGGAAAATCTTACAGACAAAAAGATCAAAAAGGAATTATGGTAAGATGACGGGAACTTTAAGGAGTAGAGGTAGATAATATTAATTAACCATTAGTCTATAAAAATTCCAAACAATGGTTGGTGAAGGTTTTGTTACATGTTGGATGTCGCATGTTGCATGCCAAGCTCGAATTGCACTATGGATGACGTGAATACAATAATCGAATGGTCACAATGATATGAAAATCCCTAAAAGTTGTCTATTAACGTTTTTTGACATATTTTTTATGAATACAATAAATTTCAAGCTTAGTATGCAACATGCAACATGCAACATGCAAYATGCAATATGCAACATGCAACATGCAATTATGAATTATATACCCATAAAGCATTATCTTAGTTAATGTTTCTGACATCTGATTTCAATATTCATTAGTAATATATTTTTCCTGTAGATCAAGGGAAAACGACGAAGCAATAAGCCTGTGTTCTTCATGAACTGTGGTATCCATGCAAGGGAATGGGTATCTCCAGCTACTTGCATGTACATCGCCAAACAGGTAATTAATACTGTAGACTTATCCAAACCACACACTAATACACACTATTCAATATATAGAGCGTTGGCCATGTTGGTGTACCCAAGTAATACATTTTCTATCTTCCGGGAATTGAACTCAATATTTCCATTCAAATACTGTGCAGAAAGTTTCTATTGTTAGGTACACCAATATGGCTGCCTTGTCGCTTGAGTAAAAGCGCTCAATATAAAGGAGCGAGGTAAGAGCAGCAAGTTTCTTTCGGTAGTGTATTGAAGGTTTTGAAATAATAGATAAATWTGTTATCATTTGGAAAATGAAACCATCTTATGAAAAGAGTTGCCTTCTTCCCACCATACAACATAGCTACCGTAAAACGTTATGAAAAGTGTGCTATTAACAGACAAATTTGAACTCCACGTAAAACACTTACACGTAAAATATTCAGTCTTCCACTAAAGATGAATCAATTGATGTATTGATTGTATCCATTTTGTTCTAGCTTTTGTCTAGATACGGTAAAGATGCGGACGTCACAGCCATCCTTGATAAGATGGACTTCGTTATCGTACCAGTAGTGAATCCAGACGGCTATATACACACTTGGGAAAGGGTAGGACTAATACGATAAATCAATGACATGATCACCTGGGGAGTAGACAACGTACGGGAATCTCAATCTCCACCCTCTCTTCCAATATTTTCAACAAAATAAGCGCTTATATCAATTTATTCCCATTTACGACCGCATACCATTCTCTTAAGGAAAAGTCTTGTACTTTGAATATTATCTATATTCAAGCCCCTCCCCCTTCTCATGCGTTGTTGGTGTGCAATGAAATGAAACTTGAGGGAATTGTATTCGCCCTATATACATATACATATACATATATATATATATATATATATATATACCTATTTCGAAGATCGTTGTCGCACCAAGAGCCTCAAGTAACAAGCCAAGGCTCCAGAGAACGTYGGTACTTTTAATTATAATTGATTTATTCCTGGTTCATGCAAGTGGCTATAGCTCTCCACTAATTATCATCTCAAGCAGCCTTGCTTGGAGCAATTTTTAAAGTCAATGAATGAAAATGCACCATGAATAAACTAATTACAGCTAAAATTACCGGCGTTCTCTGCGGTCTTGGCTTGTTGCTTGAGGCTTTTGGTGCGACAACGATTTCCGTGAAATAGGTATATATGTATACATAGTATGGCTGGATAAGTCATTTACCAGATGAAGGGTTCCTATATTGGTCCTTAAATTAAATACTTTTGTCAGTATCATTAATACCCTTTTGTTAGTATCATTAATATTTTGCTTTCATATACATATGTAATGACCCTTTTGCTCTTGTCTTAATAGTACCGTTTTTGGAGGAAAACTCTTCGTCCCAATAAGAACACTTGGTGTGTTGGAACTGACCCAAACAGAAATTGGGATTTCAAGTGGGGAGGTAGGTAATTTTGCTTTTTTTGCTGGAAAATATTAGTGATTCAATTGCTGGCTTTTGCTTCACTTCTTTTCATGTCTCGTGCGGAATGTTCATCAGCTGAATCGCAACTTTTCAATAGGATTCTTTCTGGTTGACAGAACATGGTGGTCAGTGTTTGATCACCATTTGGAGCAGATAGTGAGATTCAAAAACCATTATCAGCTGAGTGAAAAGCCAGAAATAGTGGCGTCGAATTTCATTGATTATTCAACTTTGCATAATCCATTTTTTGGTGCATGCGCGATTTTCCTGAAGTGAAATATATCAATGAAAATCATGTTTTCAAACAGAGTTCTGTGTTTACTTCCGATCAAAATAAGAATTAGAAATCGGGAACATATTGGCAAGTCTTTGAACGCGTGCTCTCTTATAATYCTGGTCTAAAAAATAGATCATGCCAGAGCCCTCGCTCTTCGCCGTAGGCCAGAAGAAACGCAGGTTCTAGGTACGAGATTGGGATCGTGGTGGTTGTAGTTAATATGCTATGATACTATGTGCAAATGTCCTATTTTTGAAATATGCAGTGTATTGATGATGAGCGGAAATTGTCAATCTCTCCCTCTTCTAATTTTACGACCTCTTTATCTCTTAACTTATTTATCTTGAATATATCATTTTCTYATTTTGTAGCTCCAGGATCAAGTACCGACCCTTGTGACGATGCTTATCGTGGTCCACACGCATTCTCTGAAATCGAAACCAAGAATCTTGCGGACTATCTGAAGCGTCTTGGAAGCCGTCTGAAGGGATACATGGATATCCACGCCTACAGCCAGCTGTGGATGATTCCTTGGGGATATACTAAAGTACCAACAAAAGATCACGATGAGCTGGTATGAGCATACATGCGCCTTATTTACAGCTGATCTGAAGAAGTGAAACTGATTTTCTATTTAACGAATGTTTGCTTCTTTTTGATTTCTTTTTGGAGTCCCAGCGTGTGAAAAGTTCCCGCCAAAATTAAACTTCCAAAATAGGTCATTGATATATCCGTGTAGTGACCCAAAAAATATTATTTTCCATCATACCCAGTCCTTTTTAAAATTTCTCACATTAAAGTTGCTTTGTTTGTTTCCCCATTAGATGCGAGTCAGCAATATTGGGGCCTCTGCTATCCGAAATGCTGGTTAYAATACTCAGTACACAGTTGGACCCTCATCTGTCGTCATCTGTATGTACTATAAATAGAAACACACAAAACGTGATGAGGTGACCCCCTAGACTCATATTTCCACGATACTCTTATCTCTTCCCGCTGGAAATGAGCCTAGCAACGCCAATCACGTTCTTTACGCTCAGTAGAATGAAATTGGACCCCCCTTTTGTGCAGCAACTCTTACCAGCTTTTTCTGCCTSGCGGCCGTTTTAGAACCCCTATTTTTTDAAATCCTGGATCTGCCACTGTTAACTATTCAGTTTTCAGAATTTACTAAGAAAAAACACTTAATGGAAATTAAATGAAAATTGCTTATTCGTTGTCCTGAGAAGAAGTTGTTGCGATCGAAGAAGCCAAAGCTTAATTTGCCTAACAGTAATAACGCATCATGAATGAAAAACATATTTTCATGAGTGCTTTAAAATKTTTGCTGGGTTTTGATTAGTATAAGGCGGGAAGGTGTAACTATTAAATGCATTTTTTCACTGTTTTTTTTTAGACGAGAATTCTGGCGCGAGCAAAGACTACACCTACGGTGTTCTTGGCATCAAGTATTCATTTGCTTTGGAGCTGAGAGACAAAGGAGCCTATGGCTTCCTTTTGCCAGCTTCCCAGATTATCCCAACAGCAATGGAAACGTTTGAGGGCATTAAAGCCGTTGCTAAAGCAATGAAGGTTTAAAAGCGAAAAGATATGGGAACAGAATAGTATAAATAGTATTGCCATAGACGAATATCAAAACCATCCTGAGGCGGCCCCAGGGGAAAGCAAAATTCAATAATATTACGATACAATTTGAAGGTTTCCAAATTTACTTTACCATGAACTACGGCTCGGAATTATTTTGAAAGTGGTCTCTGGTGATTTCAGATATAGACGGAACAGTCAAGCTAGACTCTAAACAAGTGGGAAAATTAATAGAAGAAATGTATTTTAGTATTTACRAAAGAACTAGCATTTACAGACTACGTAAAAAAATGGAAATAAACTTCGGCGTGGAAAATCCTTTGTTGTCTTTATGATCAATGCAATAGCATTTCTAGCTCGTGGATAATCGTAGCGTAGAAGCGAGTTGTTGTGAGGGGCCTGAATATGCTGAATCACTCACTAACTCACTCTTCGTCTCTCCGGCGCTCACTCACTTAGTAAGCTGTTAGCAGATCGCTAGATCGTCGTGTCCTCAATACACTACAGTACAAACGAGTTTGCCTAATGGTCGTGGGTCGTGGGTCGTGGGTACGAAGTCGTGGGTCGTGGGTAAGAAGTCGTGGGTCGTGGGTACAAAGTCGTGGGTTCCAATTTTTTTCCAAATTTATCATTTATAAATTTAAATTTATCACTATACTTCCAAAAC